GACTCTGTTGTTACGGCGGTTCACCGATTGGCGGTGGAGCGCCGTCGGTCGCAGTCGCGCGATCCAGTCGAGTGACCCGATCGCGCGATTGGGTGCGCTATCGCGGAGTATGAAGGCGCTCTAAAGGAACTTCGGAGCCGCGTTGAGCTGACGAGCGTTCAATCCGGCGGAGCGTACTTCAATGCTACTTTTCTAGCCATGTTTTTACCTGTGACCATCTAAAGGTAAAAGTGAAGGATCTTCTCACCTTTTCCCTCGTTTGCTTTGAAAGTGCAGGTTGTATCATTGCGTAAACAGTCTTGATCATCAGCGGGCAATTGATAATATAAATATGACGGCCAAAGTCAGGAAACAATGCCTGAAAATCATTCGCGTTGTGCCATGCCCTGCTGGAGTTCCTCGAAGATAGTTGATACGATTGATGGGCGAGGGGGCGGGCTGCTGTCGCCAAGATCATTGGTGGAAGGGAGGCGGGGGTGTGGCCAAATGCCCTCTCGCAGCTCCTCCGTCAATGATGCTGGCGACAATCGCCAGCCTTCAAAAATCGTGCCTGCTATGTTTAGGAAAAGTTCAGGAAACGTGTCCTGGCGACAGGTAGAAGGTAGCAGGACATTTGCTATCCATATCTCCATGTACTGCGGCACACCTATCGTCGTCATCCGGGCAGTTGATTAGCCTGCCCCAGGTGTCGCGACGCGGCTGCAGCGCGTCACGACGTGGCGATCAGCTGTTTCCACCCTAATTTTGCAATTTTTTTCCTAATTTTCACTGCATTTCCTATTTTTTCGGGGTAATTTACGTTATTGTCTTTATGAAGTGTATAACCCGCGGATTCTTTCATTTTCTCTCGTAATGATGTGTTTTTCGCGATTTTCTTTAGGCATTTGTCTAATTGTTTGTTTAATCGTTTAATTGTTTGCGCAAAAGTTATAAAGATTCCAATTATAATTTACCTTGTGAAGCCAGAACTGCTAACCTTGACAAACGCAGCCAAAAGCAGTGAAAAGTAGGGAAAAATGACTAAATTAGGCTGGAAAAAGCAAATAGTTCCTACGCACGCGGTCGCTGCTGCAGCCGCGTCTGCGGCCCGTTGACGACCGCCCTAATCAACTGCCCGGATGACGAGGGTACATTATATCAATTATGTCCTGGTGCGAAAGCAGCGCGGGCCCTGTCGCTCCAACGTGGATCTTGCATTTAATTGCATCCTAATTTCCTATTGCCTTACTTGAAGTATTATAAGTAAGTTGAGGTAGTGATTGAGAGCCGGTGGATAGAGAACATCCATGCTGAACTTGTCCATGTCAACGATAATCTTTGCTCCTAACTTTCTTCCCGTAGCAGCTTCTGCTTTTCTGAAGTGTCACTATTGAAAAAGGAAGGTGCTAGGCAGAAAAAGTTAGTTGTGCTACCTGACAAGTTTGAATGCAAATTCCGCCTCGATAATGCTGATCCGGTACAGTTCACTTACGGCTCCTGACCTTATCAGGGTCTTCGGGTGTGTTAGCGATAACGCTTGCATGTATACGACATTTCCCAGCTCGTCCTGGCACATGATACCACCTGAAAGGAAATTGCGTCCTAAGGGAAGCGATTATGATAACACAGCTACTAGTTGCCGAAAATGTAAAAATAGCCATTGCAAATAAGATATTGCCTTCGGAAAAAAGACTGATCGAGAACTTCTTACCATGGAAAACATTAGAAAAAATGGAATGTCGCGAATAAAGGGGCTAGGGATGCCAAAATGCCAAACTTTCCGTACTGTAGAGGGAAACCGAAAAACTGCCAGCTCTGACATGTAGCGAAGTGAGGGCAAGTGGGGGGCATAGGACGAGTTCACCGGACCATGGAAGTTTGGTACATATGTAGCCGCAATTCATGCCAGCTGATTTCTGAAGCGATGGCAGCGATGTCCCTGCCTAGGTTCCTTCGCCGGCTCTTCGGTTTTTATCGCTTCCTTTACAGGCATCCTATACACATACATGGACTGATGGGCGGAGTCAGTAAAGACGGGTGGGGCCAATGAGAGGAGCGACAACATGAGCGTCTTAGTAACTCGCACACGAAACTGGTGCAATCGCTGCCACTGCAGGCCAGGCACTTGCTTGCACATAAAGAGGGATTTCTAACTGATCGCGCGTGCACTGTACCTTTGAGCAAATCTTCCCAAGTTGCCATTAAAAGAGCGACCACTACTATGCGGGGGCAATCTTTTCTTTTCGTGCTGCTTGGGCGCTTGATTCTAGTCCGGCGGCTGACCGCTCTGGAATCAAGGCACCATGGCGATGTGTGAGAGTGGTC